GAAATTTTAATCACCAAGCTGTGTTTATGTAGGATCATGATGGAATCTTATAAAATATCTTTATCAGGAAAGATTAAAGTAATTCCAGAAAGAGCATGCATTGCTATCTTGGTCTTCAGCTCTTTTTATTGCGAGTCTTACAGGAAGTTCTGGAAGGTGACTTGAGAGTAAGCCGTCCATTAAGACATTGTGGTGGGTTTAGAGTAGTGATGGCGAAAACCACCAGCACTTTGAAGCAGCCTGAAGCCGGTGCTGACATCGCCTCAGTGAGCGAGGGGTAGTCCCCCGGGACAGATCATGGATGAAACAATAAATACATTAGGACTCCTGCGCACAACATTATAGGAGCAATAATCATGGTAATTTGAATTTACTGTGCGTTTTCCTTGCATTAAGATAATTACATTTTTACGATTGATCTGACAACATACATCAGTTCCTGTCTAATCCAGACATCATTCCACAAACAGAAGATCTTGCTGGTGAAATTAAATGAAATTTACACCAGATGAACAAGCGACTATTAAACCAGACAATGGATTTGTCTTTTTGCATGAACCACTCGGATTATGGTGCAAACACAACTGTGGACGCAGACTTTGTTGCAAAGTAAAAGTCGACACAACAGTCTGAAAGACTTGGCATCTTATGCCCTCTTCACAATGGATGACAATCTCGCAACATCAAATGTATCCGGAGCATGGATGGTCTTTTACAGTCTTGTTGAGGTCATCGGGGTCATCAAGAACGCTTGCCATCTTTCAATTCTAGGATTTTATATCTCAAGACATAATTAAAACTGAACTGTTCTTGCCCGAGTTCTTAGAATATTCAACTTTAACCTCAAATGAACAAAAAAACAAGACTCCCATGTTTTCCGTTTTTCTGAAGGACTTTGTCTCACATGGTTGTGGAGTGATTTTCGCCCACTCTTCCATCCAAGATGTTTCTGCACATCTCTCTTAAGGTATTAAGGTTCATTCCGTTTTAGGTTCTAGACTTTGACTGGATGGTTGCAGCACCTTGATTCGTTTCTTTCAGCACCATTCTGTTGTAGATCATTTCCCTGTTGCATCATAACCCAGTTTGGGCCAAGCTTCAGCTGTAGGACAGATGGACTTACATTTTGCCCTAGAATCCTTTGGTCTACAGAGGAGATCAGGGTTGACTCTGGAGCTCAAACCATCAACCCTCCACCACCACGGTTGATGGTTAGAATTAGTGTTTGTGCTGGTATTTATGGTTGACGCTGTGGATTATGGGTTAACCCTAATTTGGTTTTATTTGTCCAAAGGACGTTGTTTCATAGGTATTGTGGTTTATTCAGATACAACTATCCAAACCTAAGTCATGCTCGCACATTCTTATAAAGAGATTAGACTTTCTACTAATGCTAAATATACAACTACTAATTATGCTAATACTAACATCACAAATACAAGTTCACTAATGCTAATTCTACTGCATTAATGTTATGAGTGCTGATGCTCTTAGCAAGTGCTGTAGCTAGGAAGAACCCGCCCATCATTAAACAGGGGTAGAGGCCTCTGTGTCCAACTGTCCCCCTCTTACAATACTGTTATTGCTATTATCATTCAGCCCCCTGTAAATAGCAAGCAGCCATCAGGGTACTAACGACCATTTGTTAGGCTGATGGTCCTCCTTGATCATGTGACCAGCTAGGTTTGGTTGTCACCAGCAAACTGGTTGATCCACATAGAGAAGGCGCATTTTAGCATTTTGCTACTTTTTGCAAGTGCTCGGTTACGTTAAGCTAAAGTTTTACTGCTTCTTGCTAACCTTTTAATACTTTTGACTTTTCACTAATGACTTGTTACTTTAAGTTTTCAGCTCACTTCAACAAATGTTAATTATTTTACTGGTAATGCTAATTCTACAGGTGCACATAGCTAATTATACCAATTCTAATACTACGGATTTTACTACTTCTGCTAATTTTACTACTAAAAGTAATGCTACTAATGCTAATATAGCTAATTCTAATGATTTTACTGTGTTTCTTTCTTTTTAACTGTTATTTGGGAGTTTGGACTCTTGGCTAACATTTTATTATTTCAAGATTTTAGCTAATTGCTTTTTTTTGCTAGTTTTAACAACCGTTGCTACTTATCACTTTCAGCTGCTATTTTGCTGCTTTTAATTTTTAGCTAGCATTCTGCTACTTTTAGCTTGCATTTTGTTGCTTTGTGCAAGTGTTTTGCTACTTTAAGGTAAAGCTTTGTTTTAAGCTAGCAATCTTCTGCTTTTATCTACTTTTAGCTTTTAGCTCGTGTTTTGCTCCTTTAAGTTTTCAGCAATTCTCTTATTGCTAATGCTAACTCTCCAAATGCAAAATTTACTGCAGCTAATTATACTAATAGTAATACTACTTCTATTAATATTTAACCAATACCAATTCTACTATTATTAATGAAATCAATGCTAATGCTTTTAGCTAGTGTGTTGCCACTTTTAGTAAGTGTTCTATTGCTTTTAGCTTTCAGCTCAGTTTCAGCTCCTTCTGCAAATTTCAGCAGTTATTCAGCGTTCTCGCAGTATTTTGCGCTAGTTAACTTATATGTCTGCTCCGGTGCTTTTAAAGTTTTCACCATCACTTGATTAGTTATCACCCTGCTGTGTGCGACACGTGACATTAATTAATCATGTTCCATCTTTACATGTATAATTAATCACCTTTGACGCCTTCAGGGAGGTGCAGAGACTAAACGTCGGTGACCTAAAACTTCATCCTGGGGTAATCGAGACGACAGCTTTCCACTCGCTCTGACAGGATTCTCGTCTCCAGTGTGAGTGCGTGGCGGGTCGGTCCCACCACGGCGGCTGATGACAACGCTGACAAAGGTGATGATGCAAACGATGACGTGCAGGAGTGTGTGGTGTGTGCTGAGAATGTACCAAAAATATTGATCGTGCAGCTACGGCATGTGTGAAACCTGGTTTATCCACCCCCTCGGTGTAAAATCAAAACGATTTGCTATATTTGGAGAGAGCTGATGTCACAAGTGGTTTGAGCAGCGAGCCTATAACTGTTGGAGTCGGCTTGTGCGACAGTCCCACAAACCCTGGACTGATCCAGAGCCAGACCGGGCGAACGCAACACAAAGTGAGTACCTTATTAGACTTTAATCTCTTCCTTTTTTATGGTCTGTGCATATATGAGGCAAAAGCAGTGGTTTTAGTTTGTGTGCCTTTGAGATTTGGGTTTGATTGAATGGAACATTTAGCCTTTTTTTTTTTTAATTATTTAAGATTTTCTGGGAAAAAAAGGCAAATTTTATATGAATTTTCATGATTATTTACACGTAAATACTCCTTTTATACATACAAAAGTTAGTTTATCATGTAATTATTTTATTGAGTAGAGTATAACAAGTATTTTTAGGTTAAATTTACCTATATATAACAGCAAAACAACTTAAATTAGTTAAATTTCATCAAATGTTTACACGTTTCCCAATTAAATTTAAATTGTTTTAGGTTTTTTACATAAATGAATTAGAGACATTTCAACTACAAAAATATAATTTCACCTTCTGCAGATTATGTCAAGTTTAAAAATAATTTTGCATCATTTTAGTAAAATAAGTTAGCAACATTTTAGATTTTAGTGTCATTCAGCTGTTAGTTAAATTTAAACCGTTTTTAAAAAAAATGACAATTTAGTAAAATAAAGCTAGTTTGATTAATCATCTAGTTAAAATGTAGAAATAATATTTATGCTAATATATATATTTTTTTTTCAAATAAAGGTACAAAACATAAAAATACAAATTAAACATCACTTGCATGTTTAAAATCGCATAAACTTTTATCCGTTTTTTTTATTTTCTTCTGTCAAAATGATGGTGGAACAGAAATTTAAAGCGCTGTGGAGATAAACTCGGCTAATGTTATCCTAGCTTGGAAGCTACCTCATTATCAGACACAACAAATATAAATGTCCTAACTTTAACTTTTATTTATCTGTATTCCTCATTTATATTAATGGAGATATAATTCTCTGTTGGACGTCACAGACGACAAATGAACTTGAAGGAAAATAACTGTTGACAGAAATATTGCAGAAACAAATATATTAATCAAAAACTCTTTGTTTGCAGTTGTTCCTAAAATAAATAGTTAATGCACGTCTAAGTGAGTCGGTACAGTAAAGCTGCAAATGGCTCATTAAATTAAATTAGTTATTCCTTTGATCGATCAGTCGTTACTTGGGTAATTGTGGCAATTCTAGAGAAAGTAAACACAAACAAGTGCTGACGTTTAGGGACACTTGCATTTGGAGTGCCTTGTCCAATTTGTTGATTCTAAATAAACTCAAGCTTGACCCTCCGTGGTGTCGTCATCCCGTTCGAGTGTATCAACATGTGCCTGCCATGGTGACCGCGGGAAACGAGGAGTCGGGTGAATTCCTGAGAGGAAAAATGGCTACCAAGGAAGGCGGCATCAGATTACTCACTCCTGACTGGAGGAGGTTGTGATTTACTATTTTAAATAATTTTTTACAGTGTAAATAAAAAGGAAGTTCATGAGACTTTTTAATAAAGTGCAGCCGGGAGAGATTTGGATGGAGTTTATCCAACACTTCAAATGAGCTTCAAATGAGTACAAAGTCTTACATTCTGCACATTTTTATGCCTTTGTGTGTTTTTTTTTTTTTCCTTTAAAGTGAATATAGCAAATATTATTTGGCTTACTGTACCGAAAGAGTAAACGTTGTTCCATCTATATGTGAAATATCTAAAAGCAAAAAAAAATCATCTTTTAGGTACTTTATGTGTATTCTGCCTTTATTTTGTGTTTGCTTGCACCACAGTGTTGTTGCAACTTGTTCTTAATCATATAACTAGTGTTAAATATGTTCTTAATTCAGAATTTTCTACTGCTGTGACAAACTACGTTCCATCAGGGGATTATTAAAAAGTCCTTCTATTATATTCTATTAATTTTGTCCATGCAGGGACTTCATCAGCAGCTGCATTATGCATCACCTGAGGCTTCCTGTGTTTCTCCTCACGGTGCTCGTGTTGCTGCGCTGCATCGCTGCCGCTCCAAACTACAGGTGAGTCTTACTCTTCTTAAATGCTGATCATCTCTATACTGAATGTCAAAGGTGATTTTGTTTCTGTAGCACTTTTAAAGCGCTTTACAACAGGAAGAACCACAAATAAAACAAATACAGTAAAATATATTTGAAACAAGCCAAAATGAGAAAACACTACAACATAAAGGAGCTGATAGGACTCAGACTGAAAGAAAAATCCTCCAACAGTGTAACGTTCGGCAGTTAAAAGGGTCAAACAGCTTGTGTGAACTGCGTGCCAAACTATTTAAAATTGTAAGATAGTAAAATAATCTTAAACAGAGAGAAACGTAAACCAGAGTGATGTCATCTAGCACCTGTTCAAGGCTAAAATATGATGATGATGAAGGTGATGAAGGCATTGCCGAAACTTTTTGAGATCTTGAGAGGAAGGAAAGATTTTGCTTTGGCAATTCAACGTAATTGATATTAAAAAAAAACTGATCTTATAAAAGCTATCCAAAAGCACTCCGAGATTTCTGACACTGGAGCAACAACGATAAACAAAATAACTTGTTCAAACATTTCTAAATACAAAATTTTCAGTCTTGTTTTCACAAAGAGAAAGAAAATACCAAGTTAACCTGTCTTTAGAATCATGTTAGAAAAGGGAAATACATTTGGGTGTCATCAGCATACCAGTGAAGGTATACTTTCTGGATGTCTCAAAGGCTGCTTTATCAACGAAACAGGATGGGACTCAGAAGTGACCCTTGAGGTACACCACAACAAATAGGGGCAGAGGAGGAGTATTTAGATACAACAAAGACCAACAACATGCTACGTTCTTGACAAAATAATGTTGTGATAGACTGCATTGACCTCCTTTTGTAACAAAAACCTAAATAAAATCCAAAATAAACCCTTTTGGTAGATCACAACAAATAGGGGCTGAGGAGGAGTATTGCTTCATTGATATAAAAATTACCAACAAAATGCTTTCTTCTTGAAAACAAGAACAACAACAAATATGTTGATTGACCGCATCAATAGCAACATATGTAACAACAAATTGTAGGGACCAAAAAGTGACCCTTGAGGTCCACCACAATAAAAAGGGGCTGAGAAAGAGGAATATTACCTTTTACATATAGAAAAATGCATCTCAGACAAATGGAGTTTAAATTTCAACTTGATCTTTCAACAAGATGCTCAATTCTTGACTAAAAAAATATTGTTATAGACTGTATCAAAGGCAACAGTTAAATCTATCTGGGTCAGTAGTAAAAAAAAAAATAATTAAAAACTCTTAAAAGTGCAGTTTTAGTTCCACGGCAGGATTTAAAACCAGATGTTTTGGACATGAAAGGCAGTTTAGATATTAACTTGTGGAGGTGGAAGCAAGTTCCAATTGTTTTGTGGGGAAAAGTGTCTCATAGCTAAGTGGACATTTTCTCCTCTGTCCCATGGGACTGGTGAAGGGTTTGAAGAGTGGATCATCCATGTGAAACAGTTCTCTCCCCCCACTTCCCTCTTTAATCTAGGTACTTGAGTCCCAGCTCCTCCTCTGAGCAGGAGAGCGCTCCTCCAGATGCTGAGAGCTGGTCTCTCCCGGAGCTGATCTCCAACCCGTTCCTCGGCCTCATGGCTTCACAGCCACAAAGAGGACTCGCCGGAACAAACAGGTGTGGACCGACCTCTTTACTGCACGGGAAAGATTCTGGGTCTTGTGTCTCCATGCCTACGCTGTCTTTTTTTGTTTTCCCAGTCACCACTTGGAGAAAAGGAAGTGCAACACGGCCACCTGCGTCACCCAGCGGTTGGCGGACTTCCTGGTTCGCTCCAGCAACACGATCGGCACCGTCTACGTCCCGACGAACGTGGGTTCTTCCACCTACGGCAAAAGGGACCTACAGAAGCCTCCCAACTATCTGCCTTTCTAGTATAAACAGAGGAAACTGCAGTTTATTTATTCAATGATAAATATATGACCAACCTTTTTCTGTAAAACGATTGTGAGAATGACGTTAATGACTGATTTGCAGTGCCTTTCATTTAAACCATCCGGTCCAATCCAGTTTTGTGAATCTCATGGTTTTTTGTAATCTTTTTCCAAACGGCATGATGCGAATATATAAAAAATAAATACTTAATAAAACAAAAGAATGTACAGCCATTTCAAATAAATGTTCTTTTTGATAATAAAATGTAAATACACATTTATTTTTAAACTCTACGTTTATTTTAAAGCCACCTTCTTTCATATGATTGCAGAAACATGCAGTTTATTGGTGACGCAAACAAAAAGACTCCGGCGGGGAAAAAAACATCTGTAAAAGAAATAAAAATATGACTTTGATGATCTGCTCGACAAACTTTTCTTTATCTAACCCATAGAAAAAATAGAGTTGTAGTCCCGCCCATTGTTTACATCTGTGACATCGTGGAGAACAAGATGGCGTCTAAAACGGTCGACTGCTCACAGCCGAGAAACATCTGTTTAACATCAAACCCAACTGGATCTGTGTCACAGTTTATTAATATAATAACTTCATATAATTCATAATTAATGTTAATTTCATGCAACAGTCATATGAAGCAGCTCGATGTTATAGCAGTAATATATTTCTATATATATAGTACAACTAATGATCTCCTGAACCTTTCAATAATTAATGACTGACTTCCAAAGATTCAAGACTTTTTATCTGCTTCAATAATTACGACTTCAACTAGTTGATGAATTTGAAATTAACGCTTTTTAATGTGTAAACTGTTCGTCAGTGTCTAATCTATACCTAAGCTTAAGTACATTTTCAGTATTCATGCAATAAGAGCAGTACTAATAGTACTAGCGTGTACTATTTAACAATTTCAAACTGTAGCATGACTGTACAGTAGCGATACTATCTGCCAGCCAGTTTAATAATTAACAGCCATTATTTCGGCGTTATAGGCTACATTTAACTTGTTACATTTTTAGCTTCGGTTCTGGTCGGATCACATCGAGGTAAATAAAATAAACTCTTGTGACATGAGACACGTTTTCCCATCTTTCTTCTGTTGCTAACATGCGTAGCACACACACAATTTCTGGGATTTTTATATTTTTAAATACATTCTAATGCTATTATATTACATACACTTTATTATTTTTGACATTTTGTACATACCTCAGATCTGTTTAGTCAAAATGTCGAGTGCAGACCTTTGGCTGTTTTGGTAATGGCTGCCATTCCTGTAATGAATCACAAGGTCACCAGGACGCCCTTTAGTGTTTTATTTAACACTTAATTTAATTTAAGTTGCCACAAATGAAAAAAGGAACATCCCTTTGAAAAAAAAAAATCTAAATACACATTTGTTGTTCTGTTGTATGCAGAACCTGGAGGCTTAAAAGTGACGTACACTTCAGTTTGTGCTCACATTAAGGTTCAAGGTGACTTTATTGTCATTCGCATCATATGTGGCACATGAGGTGGAACCAAATTGTGTTCTCAATTCAACTCACTTTACAATATGACAGCCTGGATGGGTAGGTGCACATTCATATGTGAGCAGATTGAATAAGAGGGGACTCAACACACAGCCCTGAGGGCAGCCAGCACTGAGGGTTATGGTGGAGGAGAAGTTTTGGATCCTCACAGACTGCGGCTTGTTCGTTTTGGTTCACATTAGGCATCAAGTCAAACTTTATTTTTGTAACACCCTGCACCCATCAGTAAAGATTAAAACAGCTGCAAAACATACATGAAAGCACACGCACACAAAACGATCCCCTAAATACGTCAATAATACAATATAAATTAATAATTAAATGCCGAGCAGTCCTTAAAGAATCAATCATCTGACAGCTGTTCCAGCGCTGTAGACTAAAATATTCTGTAGAGCTGTTTATGTCAAACCTTAAAATCCCATATGAATTATCACATCTGTGTGTGAATGACTCGGCTACCTCCACATCCAATTTTAACTCAGCATCTGTAAAACTGGATGAGCTATAACCGTTCATGTGTTGACAAAGGTCGATTAGCCGCGGCGACCATCTTGAATTGGATTGCCTCCAAAAGTAAGTCAGTTGTAGACGTCAATAAAAATCTGTCTAGTGGTTCAAGAGATATTTTGCTAACAGTCGAGGTTGCCTCCAGACTTTAGTGGCCAGAAAAGAAGTTGGGGTTGAGTCTCAACCTTTAAACTTGTTAACTTGTTTTTACTGAACTTGTGCCTGCAGACTGTACTTTTCTTAACTGCCCGAGGCCATCTGGAAGAGGTGGAGGAGTTTTAGCTCTTTTTAAGAAAATTTGGAAATGCAGACTGCTTCTGACAGCAGCTTTTGAGACCTTTGAGCTGCTGCATTTTGAACTGGGCCGCTCCAAACCCATCCTGGTTGCTGCTCTTTACAGACCCCCCAAATCATCAACAGGCTTCATCAATGAACTGTCTGACTTTCTCACTGGAATACTGTTAAAATACGACCGTGTGCTGATTCTAGGGGACTTCAATATACACGTCTGTTGCCCTGAGAAGCCTTTGGTGCAGGACTTTCTAAATCTGATCCACTCTCTAAACCTGGTGCAAAATGTTGTTGGCCCCACGCATCAGCAGGGGCACACTCTCGATATTGTTTTGTCTTATGGTGTATCTGTGTTAAATCTGGAAATTGGGGATGCTATCATATCCGATCACAAACCCATCTCATTTGAAATCTCTCTTGCTCGTGAGTCTAAATCCCCCACTCCACCTAGGACCTGTCGTGTATTTAACCCTTCAACCTCTGCTCGTTTTTCCTCTGCTTTTATCACCACTGCTGTTTCAACTCCTGAAACCTCTGCCTGTGTCAGTACTCATGAGCTGCTTAGTCACCACAATGAGACCTGCACCAAGATCTTGGATCTGGTGGCCCCACTGAAAGTCAGGAAAGCAAGGAGAACCCAGTACCCGTGGATAAACGAGACCACCAGGGCAGCGAGACGACTGTGCAGGAGAGCAGAGCGCAAATGGAAAAAGGACCAACTCCAGGTTTCTTTCATTTTGCTAAAAACCTGTTTAAAAAATTACCAAAACACCGTCAAATCAGAAAAAAACAAATACTTCTCCCAACTGATCAGTGAAAATAAAAACAACCCCCGCACCCTTTTCACAGCAGTAAATTCCATTCTTAATGGCCCTTTGTCTGAATGCATGGACGCCTCTGTGGACGTCTGTAACGACTTCACAAGATTCTTTGTTGGTAAGGTAGAGCTGATCAGATCTTCCATCCCCCGCTCCTCAGTTGACCCATCGGTTTTTGTCCCATGTTCAGCCACTTTCAGGAATTTCAATCCAATCACACTCCCATTGTTAAACAAAGTTGTTGGTCACATGAAACCCTCAGGCTCCCCTGCTGATCCAATCTCTCCCTCACTGTTCAAACAGGTTCTACCAGCGATTGGGCCCGCTGTTCTTAATATTCTTAACAGTAGCTTTGCTACAAGCGTGGTTCCACAGGCCTTTAAAAATGCAGTAGTCACTCCTTTAATCTAGAAACCTGGACTTGACCCCTCAGTGCACTCAAATTACAGACCAATCTCAAAGCTTCCCTTCCTGTCCAAAATCCTAGAAAAAATAGTCTTTACTCAGTTGAATCAATTTTTAACTGAGAACAAAATCTTTGAGGTCTTTCAGTCTGGTTTTAAGCAACTCCACAGCACAGAAACAGCTTTGGTTAGGGTTTGCAATGACATTTTAACTTCAAACGATTCTGGTCACTATGTGGTACTTGTACTCCTTGATCTTACTGCTGCTTTTGACACCGTCGACCACAGTATCCTCATCTCACGGCTCGAACACTGGGTTGGGATTACAGGAGCTGCTTTAGACTGGTTCCGTTCTTACCTCTCTGACAGGACTTTTTGTGTCAAGGTTGGTGAAAGTCTGTCCACTTCGGTCCCTCTTTCCTGCGGGGTCCCACAGGGCTCGATCCTTGGACCCCTTCTCTTCTCGCTCTATCTGCTCCCACTGGGATCCATCTTAAGAAAACATGCCATCTCATTCCATTGTTATGCCGATGACTGCCAGATCTACCTGCCACTGAAACCAGCCAGTGCTCGTTCCATCCACCCTCTCCTCAAATGTCTAGATGACATTAAGGCATGGATGACTTCAAATTTTCTCAGTTTTAACGACCAGAAAACTGAAGTCATCGTCTTTAGTCCTAGCTCAGCTGCCTCCTCAGATCCTGCAAACCTGGACTCACTTCAGCCCTATCTCAAGCACAATGTTAGAAATCTCGGGGTGGTCTTTGACTCGGATTTCAAGTTTGACAAACAGATCAGTTCAGTTCTGCAGAAAAGTTTTTTCCAACTGCGGCAGGTAGCTAAGCTCAAGCCAGTGTTATCCAGACCCAACCTTGAAACATTAGTCCATGCCTTCATCACAACCCGCCTGGACTATTGTAACTCACTTTATGCTGGGGTCAGTCAGGCGTCCATTTCACGTCTCCAGCTCGTCCAAAATGCAGCTGCTCGGCTTTTAACTGGTACACGTAGGTCTGAGCACATCACACCTGTTCTGTCCTCCCTTCACTGGCTTCCTGTGCGATCCAGAATCGACTTCAAGATTCTTCTCCTGACATATAAGTGCCTAAATGGCCTCGCACCCCTCTACCTCTCCGAGCTCCTGGAACCATATGTTCCGTCTCGGGCCCTGAGATCATCGGACCAGCTTCTTTTGGTCGTTCCAAAATCACGCCTGAAGCTCCGAGGGGATCGAGCTTTTTCAGTCAGAGGTCCCAACCTGTGGAACAACCTGCCCCTCAACATCAGGCAGGCCTCCTCCCTCCTGATGTTCAAATCCCTCCTTAAAACGCACCTGTTTGCTCTGGCGTTTAATACTGTGTGAGTTAGTTTATTTTGTTCTGTGTTACCTCATTTTAAATTCTGTTGTTTTATGATTGACGTTTATTTTTACTGCTTGTTTTTCCTTAGTGTGATCATTAGTGTGTGTTATTGCTCCAGTAATTTAAATTCTGTATGATGTTTTTGTTTTGCTGCCTATGTTTTGCTACATTTCTGTTAAGCACTTTGATAACAGTTTATCTGTTTTAAATTGTGCTCTACAAATAAAGATGACTTGACTTGACTTGACTTTAATACACTAAACTTTGGCTTACAATCATCTACATGAACCACGTTAGAGCTATTTTTGTCTCGCTCACGCCAGTAAGCTTCAACGATTAGAACTGGATCGTCTCCGAAAGTGAATCAGTTGTAGATTTACACCCAATGATTACCTTCTGAGACTTCCATTAAAATCCATACATCTTCATTGTGCGTTCTGCGGCAGGCGATAGAAAAGATAAATGAATGGGCTCGTAGCCTCGTACACACAGACACATTGACTACAGAATCATAAATGTGCTGATATGAAATAAAACCATGACTTGTGTAAAAAAGAAAGATTTAACTTTGATTTTAACACATGGCTGAGAGTTGGGAGTTACTTTCAGCTACTGCCACACCAAGTTTTAGCTCAATAATTGTGAAACTGACAGATTTTTATTTATTTTAAAGGGTTACATTTCTTTAGTGAGCAGGTTCAGTTCACCTTTTCCTAATTTAGGCTCCGTATTAAAATATAGTCTGTTTGTCAAAAGTTTAATTTTGTATGAGAGCATTTTTGTTGTACAGTCGTTCTTCTTTCATATTTATTAATATGCTGAAAACTTGCTGGAAGCAAAATCATTGGATGCACATTTATTTCTATCCAGGGTAAATGGTGAGCCAGATCCTGCCGGAACAGGATCCAGGAACTCTTTTATTTTGACACGGTGTGTTCCGGTAACACTCAGACTTACTAATAATAAAGTTATGAACAAACATGACTGCCTTGAAAGAATAAAACTGATATTGAATATGCAAACTGTTTATAAGTATATAAACACTCATTTTAAACACAACAGCTACTTACACATACGAGCTGACCCTTCAAGTAGTATTTCTGCTTCTACCCTTAAAAAAATCTCAGCCCCTGAAGAAGTGGTGGGGGTGAGTGCCGAGCTAACCAGGCAGTCGTACGCGGGCAGGAGCCCACAGGCCATGAACAAACGGAGGCGGCGCCTGGAGGTGTTCCATGTGGAGTCGGACAACAGGACTCAGCGGAGAAGAGTCGGGCTTGGAACCGTCAAGTAAGGGGAGGGGGGTAGGATGCTTGACAGAAGCGAAGTGTTTACAATACCCGTTAAAATATACCAAAATGCAGGAAATCGCATCTACTTTATTCAAATTTCTGGGTGTAGGACCCCGCCCACCCACAATCCCACAGCCCACCCATTATTTGCGTTGGGGCATCGATTGGTTCACAAATTAAGCCCTGCTTCTACCACATAACTGGTCGGGCTGCACAGGGAACAGGCCCAGAAGATGAAACCAGACCTCACTCTCCCCAGTGACACTCTCCCTCCTGGGGGGTTCCCAGAGAGGACATAATCACACCAGAGTGTCCTGGATCTGTCCCGGGGTCTCTTCCCAGTGGGACATGCTTACAAACCTCCAACTGGAGGTGTCCAGGAGGCATCCTGATCAGAAAAACTGAACCACCTCAACTCACTTATTGGTATTTTGATGCAGAGGAGCAGCAGCTCTATGAGCTCCTCACACCATCCCAAAGACTGAACTCGGCCGCCGTACGAAGGAAGCTCGTTTTAGCCGCTTGTATCTGGGATTTCTTTTTGTTTTACGCCATGATCCAAACCTCATGACCACCGGTGAGTGTTGGAACCTAGACAGACCAGTAAATCTAGTGCTTCTCTTTCGACTCAACTCTTTCTTCACCATGACGGATCAGAGCAGCATCCTCATTACTGAGGATGAGGCATCCATTGTCTTTCCATCACTCATCAAACTCCTCCGCTTGACCACCCAGACCGCAGACGGGTGGCGTTGTGTCTCACTGATTTGATCAAATGAGCCCTCTGACTGTGGGAGGTCAGCTGGTTCTGTCTCCTCCATGGGATGCCCTGCTGGACATTTCTTCAGCAGTACGATGTTCCTGTCTCTCTTCATGACAAATAACTCTTGGAGTTAAACCAGTTCAAGATGGCTGCCACGGCTGACTTGACCTTAGAAACACCAAACTGTCTGTAACTGAGTGAATTTTACCGATTTTAAGCTAAGGTTTGGTAAGAGAGACATCCCCAACACCATTTACTGAGCAACACATTGTCCAGTATCTTTGTAAAATGTTGCCCTTAATGATTGGCTTTAAAACTGTCTGTTAGCACAATATCTCACAAACTACTGGACAGGTTTTAATGAACCAGAAGGTGTACGTCTACAAGTGACGAACTTTTGGAGCCAATCCAGTTCAAGATGGTCGCTACAGCTGACTGAAACACAAAAACTCCTATAATTCATACAACGTTACAGATTTTGATCTTAAATGTGGCGTGGCGGTGGCTCAGACGCGCACTCTGAGCGTGACGTCTCGCAGTACTCTAAGGCAAATTGGTGTTTTCTCAAAATAAGATGATCTTAGTTTAAATCTCCGGCATGTTTTCAAGGAACGGTTGTCCTTTGATTGGTTTGAACGCTGGCAGCCGCAGAGCCGCTGGTGTCTGCACAAACTGGCAGATTGTTTTAAAATCTATATACTTATACGCATAACAAGAGTTTTTATGAATTGTAACTTTCAGTAATGAAATCTCGACACAACTGTAACATTTAGGGCCACTTTTGTCTCATTTAATCATAAAACTAAAGTGGTGTAGAGCGAAAGCACCCGGTGGTTATTAGTCATTGTTTACCCACATTACTTTTAATGGCACAACGCAGCGTTGTATTCCACATGTGTCGCCCTCCTCGTTCAGGGTAATGAAAATCAAGAGGGGGGCTGTGACGCACGGCATCAACCTCTGTTTGATTAGCGGCGACCCGAGCATCTCAGAGTCTGACAGCAGTATCCCCCTGCATGGTTAACACCCGCGTAAAAAGGCTTTTTCCGCAAATAGAACAAGTGCTGATGAATCCCAAAACAATGCAGCCATTATCCGGCAAACACTCGGGCAGAGGACGGGGATCAAGATCTGTCGATCACTTCACAGAAAGCCACAAACGGCCTCAGCTGAGTTGTTTATCACAGCGGCGATTATGACTGATGGGATCGTATGATCGCATTAACGTCTGACACGAAAGGTTATTTATTTAAAAACAGAAGGGCAGATACTGGTCTTATTACCGTGTCTCTTTTACTGGTAAAACAACTAAATGGTGTCATCTTGTTACGTACTTCTCACGCAACACACACAAAATGAATTGTATTACACATTGTTGCCTCCCAGAAAACATAAAACACATCAGCAGCAACGAGAGTTTAGATGTTTTAATATCAATTTATTTGTTAATTACACTGTTTTCTGGGTTTATAGTTGTTATAATTAAAGGCCTCATCGTGATCAAACCTTGAAAATACCTTTATGCTCAGTCTCGGGCAGTTTTAGTAGAATATCTGTAAAACTGACTGAATTAAAATCCTTTTTGTGTTGCCTAATGTTGATTGGCTGCGGTAGCCATCTTTATTTGGACTGGCTGCACAAGGGTTTCATTAAAGTTCACCCAGTGGTTCATTTGATATTTTGCTAACAGATAACTCACCAACAGGTAATGCTAAAGTTTTAGGCAAAGATTTTGTGCATTAAGTCATGCAAGGATTATGTGTTATGAATAACTCTCAGCTACTACCACACCAAATCTGAATTAGTTAGTTTTTTGTGTTTTGTGTAAGTTTGCTTAGCTATGGCAGCCATCTTGAAAGGAGGTTGACTCCAAAAAATAAACGGTTGCAGATATACATCCACTGATTACTGTCAGAGAGTTTCTTTTAATTCTGTTCACAGGTTCATTAGATATTTTGCTAAAAGACAAGCACCACTTGTCTTTAGTGGCAAGAAAAGATTTACAAGCAAGTTTATTTGTACTTAAAAATATAACCTATAGATGAGTAAATAAATATTGAAATCCAAACAAGCACTGGCTTGCGCGTGTAAACTCCCTCTACTTCAATCTTTTTTCAATATATAAAGTTTTAGGTTAAATAAAAAGAAGAAGTTTTACCCAAGCGCATTTTAGTTTTTCGCTTTTGAAAAACGTCTCTCGCCGCTTTCCGTAGCTACTTGTAAACACGGAAGTAACCGTACATCGATTCCAATGAGCGCTAAAATAAGCTAGCGCTGACAAAAACAAGTGTTTTGGTAGTTGTTCCATTGTTTTGTTAGGTGCTAAATTTCACTAAATAAACGTCTGATTAAAAAAAAAAAGAAAATCTAAACAATATTTATCTTTTTAGGCACGTCATGCGTTGAGCACGATTTAAAGCTAAGTGCTAGCTGTTATATTATTAGCGTTGCGTTTGGAAGTAATGGCAGGTGAAAAAGTGAAAACGTTCAAGTTTATCATCGTGGGAGGAGGCATTGCGGGTGTGACATGTGCGGAGCAGGTGAAAATAAAACGACTAACTAGTCATTCATCTCAGTGAATCTGAAAAATAGATGATAATTTAAGTGTTTATCGACAGTTGTCGCCCGAGTTCCCCTCGGCAGACGTAGCTCTGATTACAGCAGGTCTCCACATTAAGACAGTGACCAACTATAAGCAGGTAAACATGCTTTAATGGTTGTTCTGGACTTTTTATTGCACTTCCTGATTCTCCTTTGACTCGAAGGTGTCCAAAACGATTGAAGAGTTTGATGTGGAGGAGAGACCGTCCAGCGTCCTGGAGGAGAAGTTTCCCAACCTGACTGTCATCCACTCCGCTGTCAGATCCATTCACGCACACTCACATGTAGGATCCGTGTTTAATTCATTCATATATTGTTCCTGTTTACTCAAAATTACAAGTGATTCATTGTTTGTTGTGTGCCTGCTGCTGCCATCTAGTGGTCATGTAGCTGCAGCGCAGTCAAGTGTAAGATTATAAGAAAACTTGGTTTTAAATCTAATTGTTGTCTCCTGTCGTTTTGTTTCACCCCTCAGTGTGTAGAAACATTAGATGGTCGTGTTTTTGGTTACGAGAAGCTGTGTTTGTGCAGCGGGGCCAGACCAAAGCTCCTGGCCCAGGACAACCCTTTCGTGCTGGGGATCCGGGACACAGACAGCGCCCAGGTTTGTTTGGTTTTAGGCATGCATTTGTTATATCTTATAACTTATTGTATATCTTCTTAAAGTTAAAGGAAGGGTGTATGATGTGGGCTTTTTTAAACAGAATTGTTTGCATTCCTTCATCGATTTTCCAAACCCTCAATGTACAAATGCAGATAAATGTGTATAAACCATTTCACCAAACCTCAGAATTAACAAGAAATTGTTAAATTGTATTACAATATGTAAAAAACTAGACATCAAATAATGAATATCATCTTTTTTTTTTTTTTTAAACCATACAAACCAATGTATCCACCTGTCTGTCACTTGAAATTCTTGTTTGTGACCAACAAAACGTCTTTCTTTTTGTGTTTCAGGAGTTTCAGAAGCGATTGTCCAAAGCAAAGAGAATTGTTGTTGTTGGAAATGGAGGGATCGCCTTAGAATTAGTGTGAGTCTGCAGTTTTATTTTGAAGGCTTTAGCCCGCAGTCATTGTCTGTTCAGAAGTTCTTCCACTCAGACCGTTTATTACCGAGCGTTTTGTCAGGTATGAGGTGGAGGGCTGTGAGGTGGTCTGGGCGGTGAAGGACAAGGCCATCGGGAACACTTTCTTTGACGCTGGAGCGGCGCAGTTCCTCGTCCCATCGCTCGAGGCTGACAAACCAAAGGTACGGAGATAAACGGGTCGTAAAATCATTCACAAAAGCGTACATTTGTATGTGTACGAGATTGAAAGACGCATTAATGTAGGAAACTTGCACGTTTCAAACTGAACGTGCTAAGCGTTCAAATCACAAGGAGTGAGCGCGAATCGTCTGCTGTGAATGGATCAATCCGCTCACGCTCCAGATTCATCAATGTGATGCTGCGTTCAAGGCTGGTGAAAAGCTGGGACATCTGGGCCTTACCAGACTTTCTGTGTTTTTGGAACAGGCTTGTTTCTCACTCGGCAGAGCTCATAACTCTGATCCTAATTCTGTAAGAATTATCACTAGAAAAGATTATAGCCATCCATCAAATACATTGTTTTATCAACTGAAGATATTAAAATTATATGACTTGTTTGATGATTATATTTTACTGTTTATGTATAAAGCTCACAAAAACACACTACCTTCAAATATCCAAGTAAATGTTGTTAAAAGGGATAGTGGTTATTATCTTAAGGGGATAGAGGTGTTTGTGAAGAGTTGGTTTCGTTGTTGTTGAAGCTCCAAAATTCACGGTTGAAACCCGTGCCTTCGTGTAAAAAGGTTCTCTGCAAAAAGAAGCTGAGAACTTGTTTACTGATTTTTTAAATTAAAAGCGTTGTGTGAAAAATGCTCAAACCACACCGAGCGTCCGCCATTTTGAGAACTGAAAAACAGGAACGAGAGACAGTCTATGTCACATCAAGGGGCTTCTTGGGGGGGGGGCTGTGGCTGAGTGGTTAGAGCAGTCGTCCTCCAATGCAAGAGTTGGGGGTTTGAATCCACCAGCAGTGACATGCTGAAGTGTCCCTGGGTAAGACACTGAACCTCTCATAGCCTCTGATGTGAATGTGATAAAGCTCTGATTAGTCTATTTAGAATGATTTGTTTAATTAGCTTTGTAGAGATCTAGTATAGAGCTGTATGAATGGGCGAATGAGGCACAGATTGTTGTAAAGTCCTTTGAGTGTCTTGATCAGATAGATAATTACAGTCCACAGGCCATCCTTCAATTCAAACAGTCCTATACTGCCATCCTGTGGTTGAAAAAGGTACTACACTCAAAATAAATCACTGATATTTACTTATAAATTTAACAATAATTACTAATTATTATTAAATTTCAAACAATGTTATTGTGTATCGCAATAATTTCTGAGATAATTTATCGCCCAGCAAAATTTGTTATCGTGACAGACCTAATTCTATCCATGCATTTACATTTGTGACTGGATCGTGAAGAATAAGTCTTCATTCCTATTTGTGCAGTAAAAAAACCTGTATATACATTTGTGAGTGTGTTCTTATGCATTTATTGTTGTTGAGACTAATTTCTGTCCGTATGAAGGCAGATGTTCCTTGTCGGAGACCTCGCTACACCACGGAGGAACCAGCACCCGGAGCGGCTCAGACCTTCACTGCAGGTCCTGATCTCCACTGAGGAGACAAAAATCTTTCCTTCGTCTGCAGAACAAGCTGAAATGGCACAGACGTGTGTTCAAACGATGCGTCGGCATCTCGTTTTCATTTGACTAAAACGTCGTTCTTGTCAGAAAACGAAAACGGACCAGCTTGTAAATTTGAAATCTGCTTCGTTCTGCCCTCGAGTGCACTTTTTAAACTTTAGAAACTTTTACCTGAACTGTGCCAAAATACTTATCAGGTAGAAGAAACAACAAGTGCATTTGATGACTCATCAGTTTTACATTTCCTGTGTGGTGATTTATTTTTTTTTTTCCTTCACTCAAACCAGTTTTGGTTCTGGTCCAGTTCATTATTGCCTGCCCACATGAAAGGGGAGCGATGATGTCATTGTGTCTGCCTGCTAGCAAAATATCATGAACCGCCTGATGGATTTGATTAACTTTAGATGGCAGCAGATGATTTGCATTTCTCTGATTTTAATTAAAACTATCGTTCCCAGATGGATCGTCCCGTGGGCAGAGTTCTGGTTCTGTAGAACCCGGCAGCGCTCTTGGTCCGGACTGGCATCGGGGAGTAGAGCTACGAGGAGCAGAGCAGGTGAGAACGGTGTTCAAGTAACTCGACAAGTCCAACAGGTCTGTGATGTTTTCCTCGTTACGATGTCCTCACCTCTCCGGTCCGTCCTCAGGCGTCCCGCAGGGTCTCGGTGGAGTATCAGTGTGAAGTGGACCAGATCTTTAGCTTTGAGGAGCGTCTCCGCTCCCCACAGCAAACACTAAACCCGGAGAGTGGTGAGAACCTGATCGAACTCTTCCCCTCTTTCTAAACGTGGCAGACGTGGGCAACGTGTGGCCCGAGGGCCAAATCTGGCCCTTGGACTGTCTCCATCCGGCCCCCAGTTTTTCTTGAAAAGAAAACAATGTTTCACTGATGACACCTTCATTTTATGAATAAAACTAAAAAGTTTAATAAACTCAAACCTGTTTCCAGAACTAAACTGAACCTTAAAGACTCAATAAAACAAAAATATAACTTATGTTTTCTTGCTTATTTTCCAAAAAGCATTGGAAACACATTTTATACAAACATGCTAATGTTCCGTAACAAGTCTCTCCTGAAGGGAGTTTTATTTTCTAATTCTTTGTTTATTAATTAATTTTTTATTTCTCAGACGGATCCTGGCCCGTTTACGTCCAGCTCACCAACGGGAAGACGTTTGGCTGTGATTTCGTTGTCAGCGCCACCGGCGTCGTACCCAACACAGAGCCATTTCTCCACGGCAACAACGTGAGAAACCGTTTATTCCAGCGCCATGGGTTCTGGTGCCGTTAAGCTTTGGGAGCATTTTGTCATCGAGGAGGATTAGGGCAATGGTAAATAAAAAAAAAAAAAAAAAAACATTTAGTTTTTCATATTTGTAACATTAATCTCAGAATTCTGAAATTAAAATCAAAATTCTGATTTAAAAAAGTCAGATTTCTCTATTTTTCTTTTTGTTATCAGATTCTTTTTAGATTAAATTAAAATTAGACTTTCTCAGGAAAAAAGTCAGATTTTTGATTTTTTTTTTTCTCAAATTTTGAGAATAAAGTCAAAATTGTGTTTTTTTCCCCTCAAGTTTCTGACTTTAAATACTCGGGATTTTTACTTTAATCTCAGATTACTGTCTAAAGTCATATTTAATTTCAGAATCACTAAGTTCTAAGATTAAAGTCAAAACTCAGATTTATTTTCCCTCCCTTATTCTGAAGAAAATCTAACAAATGTTTCACCGCGGCCCTGATCCTTCTCCGTTTAACATCCTCGTCAGTTGAACGTCTCATCGTTCTTTAGAATCGTTTGTGAGCAGAGAAGGTGAATCGTGTCGCCATGATCTGTGTTTTATTTCGTGTCGGTTTAGTTCGCGGTGGCCTCCGACGGCGGCCTGCAGGTGGACGACCACATGAGGACGTCGGAGCCCGACGTGTTCGCTGCAGGAGACGTGTGCACTGCATGCTGGGAGCACAGCCCCCTGTGGCAGCAGGTAACACGACTTCACTTCTTCTTCAGGTGACAAACTGAACGTCTGTGGCACTTTATGACATAAACATTTAAAAATAGCCTGCTGAAACCTTTATACCTCTAAAGATGCTAAAATACAGAGGCGCTTGAACGTTTGTGACGCCGTTAGAATTTTCTACGTTTCTGCATCGATATGAGCTAAAACATCATCAGATTTTCACACGAGTCCTAAAAGCAGATAAACAGAACCAAGTTAAACAAACAAGACAAAAATATTATATTTGGTCGTTTGTTTATTGAAGAAAATGACCCAAACAGACAGTTGGAAGGAGTTTACCGTAATTTATGGACTATTGAACGCACCCACATTTAAGCTGCACCCACTAAATAAAAAATAAAAGTAAGTACATCTGTAGGCCGCACTATGGGTGTCCTGGTGTCATGAGATATTTAAACAATTTCCTGCAGGATCAATAAAGTTCTATCTTTATCTTATCTTACACAGAAATGTATATTTTTAAACTTTTAATTAAATACATACCAGTAACTTACACAAATACGTAAGGTAAATTATATATATATATTTTTTTCAGAACAGTGTCTGTAACATGGCTGGTTAAAAACAAACAAAAAAAAACCAGTAGCCGCCTAGGAAGTCATTGATCACTATGGTCATCTTCCTCTTGCTTCTCTGTCAGAATCCACTGGCAGCAGAGCAAAAGTTGCTCTACGCATTCAGGGGAGTCCCCTCACATCCTCTGCACATGCAGGGGAGTCCCCTCACATCCTATGTGCATGCAGGGGAGTCCCCTTTCACCTGTTTTGCACATGCAGGGGAGTCCCCCTCACATGCTCTGTGCATGCAGGGGAGTCCCCCTCACATCCTCTGTGCATGCAGGGGAGTCCCCCTCACATGCTCTGCACATGCAGGGGAGTCCCTTCACATCCTCTGTGCATGCAGGGGAGTCCCCCTCACATGCTCCGTGCATGCAGGGGAG